TAGCGGCGAACTACAGCGGCCCACCCCGATATTTCGGGGAATTAGCAACTACGGAGCAGGCCGCGGGTGCGGGTAYTTACCTGCCAGYCGGGGAATCTCCCTCCTATCGGTCGAAGTAACGAAAGCAGGCCGTAGCGGGAGGGACGATTTGCCCTGTAGCCTGGCCGTAGCAGCAGTGCACGTCCCGCTCGTTAGCGGTATTTTCGTTCGGATCTAGCGCATCCGGCTAAACCAAGGAGTGGGGTAAAGCCACCCATAGTGGTTGCGAGACTGTGCGTTAGCAGGAACGCGTGGCCTGTGGGCCAAAACAACAGCAGACTGCGGATGGAGGCGGACCTGATAGTTTACTGAGCGACGAAAAACAGACTGCGAAGCTGCTGCGTTTTTTATTGCTTTTTGCAGCGTACGCCGCAGTTTGTCTCAGCAATTGGGCAGCAGCAGCGGTTGCTAAGCCTGCTATGGACTGTTGTGGTGTTTGGAGTGTGGCCATCTAAACGCCGGGAGGCTACGCTACCGCAGAGGGCGAAGGTAGGCACTTGGGTTACAAAACTGTTGCGGATGCTTGGAGGAGTAGTTGTAAGGGGGAGGGCGCGTTTGCTGCGATTTGGAGGTCGTCAGGGAGTCGACAACTGGTGATTTGACTTCAGTTGGCCAGCGGCCGTAGGTTTTGGCCGCCATTGCGGGGCCCTCAGGCGATTGAAGGTAACAAAGCCCTCTCGCGCGAGTCTGAGAGCACCCTTCTTGTATMTGAGAGTCTCTACCTTCTACTTCTATCCTTTCTAACTCTCAGTCTRGTCCTTGGTTACGAGAGGAAGGCGGGAGGCGGGATTGCAACCCGTAGGTCCGCATCAAGACTCTGTGGRGAGTCCACCCACCGATTGCGGGAGCTCTGYCGGAACYTAGGCGAGGTTCTGGAGGCAGKGAACCTTCARGTAAATCATCTTTATCTGTATGACTCACTATTACCSATGTTTGCCTATCTCCCTGTAGTATGATTGTTGTATGCATGCGTTTGTCCCTATGGTTTTTGCTTTCTCTTCAGGACCTAATCAGACTAGYTGGAAAGAATGTGTGAGAGTGAAGCCTAAGTTCCTATTTTGTYCTGATTGAAAGCAGACYARGAATGAATTGGGGRRAAGGTGGAAGGAAGGTAGAMTGCATGCGTTTGACMGGGTCAACCAAAGCCTGAGCATTGTTTCTACTGTGAATGGCTCAGGGCTATGTTTATTTGGATATTTTATGAAGGACCAGGCATTGTTTCTACTGTGAATGGYCTGGCTACCTTAGTTAACWMTGRGGGTTGTCTGATTGAAGGGGTTTAARTTCTTGTTTATTYTGAGGGAGGATTTTTGGTCTAAGGCTAMGCATTGTTTCCATGGTGAATGGYTTAGCYTGAAAACCACGCACAKAATTTAAACTAAGTATAAAKGAAAGTATTTTATGTATATCTTCATGTGAACTGGCAGTTTGGCATTGTTTCTATTGTGAATGGTCCAGCATTAAGCCATATCATTAAGAAAAGAAAAGGGAAAATACAAAGTATAAATGGAAATAGTTTGGGCAAGCTGAACATTGTTTCTACTGTGAATGGTTCAGTCCCCTCCCCATATTTTTTTTTTTTTTTTTAAAACAAAGTCAGAAAAATACTAAATCTTTGGATATTAAACAGCTCAGGGCCACTAGGCATTGTTTCCTGGGCGAATGGCCTAGTCATCTGCCCAAAAGAAAAAAAAAAAAAAAAAGGTAGTTGTGCAACCTGTTCGTGTAAATCATAAAGACAAGTTGGGCATTGTTTCCATGGCGAATGGTCCAGCTCTATGTCTTATGTAAGATGGGTATAAGGATTCAAGAACTTGAAGATTCACGAACTATATATATGAAATGAACTTGGGATGGTGAGAGTACTTACATTCGTAGTTTGGTTTACATATAACTTGATGGGATGACTAGTTTGTTTGGGTTTCATTACTATAGGTAGTTGCTGTAGTTGCTCGCCACGTGCTAGAGCCATAGGAGTTAGTGTTGATTACTGCATTTTCTGTAATAACGTTTTTTTTACCTAGGTCAATTCCTGCATTTTCTGAGATATTTTCTTATACTTCGCTTTGTATAAATCTTGGCGAGCTACTTTTCCTACGGGAAGCGCTGCCGAAATTTCTACAAAGTTAATCAACTCTTGACTTGRCAGAGTTCAGCTTGTCTTTTCCATATATGGATTAGTATAAATCTGGAAAGTCTCCTTTTCTAGAGGGAGTGCTGCCCAAATTTTTACTAATTCAGGGAGTTAGACAAAATTGGACTTTGAGAAGTCAAAGTTATTCTCAAAATTCTGAACTTAGCCTTGTATAAATT